TGAAGTTTTGTATATTTTTATAATAGATTTTTGATAGATTATTGAAACTGGTTTTATTCATCTTAATTATCTTGTGTAAACTCTTCGTTATGTAACTTCGAGCATAAACAACAATTTACAAATAAAGTTATTAAGGAAAGAAAAACTTATTTTTTTTTTCATTTTATTAGAATTTTATTTTTTAGAGCTTTGAATTAATTTTAGACTAAATAAGAACGTATTTTAAACACACTAAATACAGTTTTTCCCATTAATGAATTAATTAATCATTGACAGAACATAAGACATCTACCTCAAATCTGAAAGTGTATATTTGATGAACATGTATAAAAATTTTTTTTTTTTGTAATGTATGTGTATTTTTTTTGAAGAGTAGGTGACAGGATTTAAATTTGAAGAACAGGCATTTGCTTTTTGTCGTCGGCAATGGGATTTGAGAATCTCTTTTCAGCTTTAATACATCATTGACCTTTCTCCCGCTTTTTTTTTCCAAAAGCAAAACGTAATCTAATTTGATCTGATTCGCGTAGGAAACAGTCGCATCTCTTCTCTTGTACCTCGAATATCCATCCATCCATTCATCCACCAAGGACAGATCTTAACCGTATTAAAATATTGATTTATAAGTATGCATATCTCAGAAGATGAAGAAAAGAGAGATGAAGAAAATGAAAACTACAAATATTAATATCCCGTACGTTTCACAATGTTATTCGATGCATTCGGTTCCAGGGTATTACTCAATATGTTTGAAATCTAATAGATTTTCTTAACGGATATTAAATTTGAATCGTAGATATTTTTCTCTTTCGCTCGCTGAAAATTCAATTTATTAATATTTTGTTGTGAATAAATGAATTATTATATTTGCAAATAGTTTTCCTCTACTTCAAAACTTTAATACGGTTTTTCGATACAATATCCTCACATAATTAAGTCTTAAGTTACAGAAAATCTCAAAAAATGCAACAACCCTTGAATAACACGGTAAATCAATTATACAATTTTTTTGAAGTACATTTTTTTTTACAAATTTTAACAACATTTTTGATAATTTAAATCTGGCATCGAATATTTTTTATATATAGATCTAAAGATTCAAATAACACGGTTTTAGTAACTATAAACCGTGCAGTGCAGCTTCGATAAGTCCGCATTCCGGTTTGAAAATAAACACAATTTTAAGAGAGCAAAATTAAAAATAAATTGTAAAAAATAGTACTTCAAATATTTGTTTATACATAAATTATCGTTTTTTTTGTACAGTCAAATTTTATGTGGTTTTAAAGTCTTCGATTAGTCAGGTTTACAATTGTTCTTTTTTCCTGTCGCAGTATAGATTTTTTTTTACAAATTTTAACAACATTTTTGAAAGTTAAAATCTGGTACCGAATATTCAATTATATATGGATCTGAAGTTTAAAATTACACGGTTTTAGTAACTATTAACCGTGTTATGCAACAGTTTATTGTAATTGTTAATAAATTGATAATGTTTAATACATTAGAAAAGATAATGTAGTAATACCTCGCATAGTGCAGCTTCAATGCGGACTATTCCGGTTTGAAAATTTCAAAATGAACTAAATTTTAAGAGAGCAAAAATTGTACTTAATATATTTGTTTCTACATAAATTATGGTTTTTTGTACAGGTTTATAACTTCGTTTTTTCCGGTCGCACTTTGAAATTATCTATTTTTATCTTCATTTCAATATTGTGTAATAGTAAATAATTGGATAATATATAGTGTGTGTGTGAGAGAGAAATATTAATTAATATATGAAAAACGATGATAATATCAAGATGGGATTGGATGGCCTTGTATTTGATTATCAAGAACAAGTACCAGACATATTTTAGTGATATTGGTGTCCTGGAATCCAGGAATTCAGCAATGCGATAGGGGATAAAGCGATTAAATTGAGCGGTGAACGTGGCGCGTCTCTGGAATGCACCTATAAATGGTCGATACGGCGCACTTTTAATTACAAATCCGATAAATTATAAATAGTAAACAATTTTCCATCTCACTTAATTACTCTCATTTAACAATTATTTATTATATTCATACACATTTTATCATTTATTTTTTTAAGTACATTTTCTACAGTTATTTCAACAAACTTTGTCGCCTTTATTATTTATTTAAATAATTTAAATTAATATTTACAATTATAATTATTTACATAATAAAATCAATATTTTATAATCTAATATTAAATATATGGATTTTATTTAATCAATAAAAAATATTACAGTTTTTGAGAATAATATTTCAAAACATACTAAATTTAAATTGAGTTCAATAAATAAAATACAGAAAATTGTTTTTTTTAAACAGAAAATGATCGATTTTTCCAAAATAATTTTTAGCCTAACTTAGTTTATAATTTGAATAATTCATATAAATAAATAATGTATTTTAAAACATATTTAAATGATTCTACAATCAAAACATTTTAGAATTGGAACCTTTGAAGTTACGATCATTGCTGCTTATTTTTGGAACTATAAATAATGTTTACTTTGGACATGCTGTGTGCAAAAACACATTTACCAAATTTAGATTTGTAATAATCAAATTTACATATATTTTATGTTAAATTTAATATTTTGTTATGTAAATTTTCAACATATTTTAATATTAAATTACATGATTTTAGAAATAAATTGTAAATAGAAGAATATTACACTTTAAACTAATATTTCTACATCGTTTCCTTTTAATAATTATTTAAATCTTTTTTTTTTAAATAAAATATTTTATTAAAAGTAAAGTATAAATGTATTTTAGTTTGACGTTTTGTATAGTATTTGTATATATTTTTTTAGAAAAATAAAATAAAATAATTGCAGAAAATTTACTTTGAGGCTGTATAATACTATTACATTATGTGTTTTTGTATGATCAAAATAGATTGAGGAAGTATTGATGCATTACTTAAAATAAATATCACTTAACCGTCTTATGTTACGATCTATTTTAAGATCATAATATTGTTACAATTATATGTGTTTAATGTATCTTTAATTGAATTTATTTAAAGACTTTGGTCGATAGCCTTTTTTGTTGTTTCATAATAATATTAAGATTTTAAAAAACTTTTAAATAAAACTGAAATTTTACAAGAAATATTTTCTGTTTACCTTTTTATTAATTTAAAATAAATTTTATAAATCTAATCATAAAAAAATGATTTAACAACGAAATAGAATCACATCACGCAACAAGTGATTTAATAGAAAAAAATTTGGAAACAATTAACAATTAAAAATTTCATTTGAAAGCATAAAAAAATATCGATAGAATTTTAATACTTGATCTTAAAAATTATTGAATTATGTCAATGAATATTTAAAAAAATCGCAATTATTTGATATTTTAACTTTTAATATTTTCATATAAATAATTTCAGAGAATTTCTTAAAAATTAAATTGAATTAAAGTTCTAAAAAACAAAAAAATTAAATAATTGTTTGTATAATAATTAACATGAATAAATATAAAGTTATGGTCAGCAATATCTCGCTAATCTATGAACAAAATAAAAACCGCACATAAATAGATTTCATACATAAAAAAACAATCATTTATGTATAACAAAATATTTTTATGTACATTTTTTTTTCGAATTTATTTTGCTTAATTATAATTTAGTTTGTTTCAAAATTTTCAAACTGAACTATAGTGAAACCGGACTAATTGAAAGTATTATCCGGAGAATGCAAGGTTTTGCTGTATTGTAGATTTGTCACCTATTGTTAGGTATAGTCATCATTTCTAGAAAGAATGTAGCATATTTATTATTGTACATGTCGACACCTGTACTACTTCGATAAACAAGTTTTATATATATAAATGTGTTTAGTGAACAGATTTTGAACTCAGTGCCTATTCCATGTTTAATAATCATAACAAACAATTTTGTTTATTTAATAAACACACGTATTCTGCAGATTCCATAGTAATACGATACGTATTACAAATTGCTTATTCGATCACATTGCGAACTTACAGCAGTGTTCAGAATAACATTGATATATTTCGTTGCAGACGACAGTTATATAATGATCAGAGAAACTAATGAATTTTTTAAGGTCTTGTAAGAAATACACGTAAAAAATAGTAAATTATTTTCATAGTCTATCTGAATGTAATACTTATTTATATTTATATAATTACAAATCTATTTTACGAATTTAAATTGAAAAACAACTAAAACTAATTGATAAAATGAGAGTTTTAATAAATTAAAACTATTTGGTTGAGATTAATTAACAAACTTATTTGAAATATTAATATCATACATATTATAAATATGTTCAATGACTATGTAGCATTACATAAATTATAATATTTCTAGACTTGTTCTAAACAATAATGAGATTTTTCTACTAAATTTACTAAAATAAATTGAACTTTTAAAATTATAATAAACTAAAGAACTTATGTTAATAAAACTCAATTATAAGGTGGACTCGCCGGGTGTTATGTCTAATTTTAGAACATATTTGTTGTTGAGTTATTTAGAAAACTAATTAACGTGATTATTATAAATATAACTTAAATTATTTTAAATTGATAACAGAAATATTTATTATATAATAATTGATTAAAATGCAAATATAATACAGAAATTGTATGCCTGTAAAAATTCTATACGTCTTTTGTCATATTTTGATACAACTAAGAGATGATTTACTTCGTATAGTTTCCTATAGGTTTCACTAAGGTCATAATGCAAAATATCAAAAAAAAAAAAAATTTTCTATAAGAAATATGTTTTCTTTTTGTGTGGTATTTTTGTATTTTATCTAGTTCCTTGATTCGTTCGGTTTCAAACAGTCCGGAATATTGACGGAATCGATTACTCGTATTATGCAAGTATTGCAGCATTTATATTAACATTGCAAATGTGTTTAAAGTTTAATAAATTGTATTTTAACAAAATTGATTTTTTTTATAGTATTAACAAAATTTGTTTTGTTGTGTTTCAGGAAGTAAAACGAACAAACATTTAAATGTAATCACTACGCTACTACCAGCTTACATGTTTCGAAAAAGTAAGAAACTCTCGTTCTTGTTTAAATATAAAAATAATTCAAACTAATTAATTTTTTTCAGAGGAATTACATGTACAATTAGAAAATCGCAAATTCGAGTCTTTCGCATTATCCGCCAGCTCAAGCCAAGTAGAGGTCGATCCACAGTCACCCAAAGATCCTGGCGATAATCGTGAAACATGGAGCTCCAATTTGGATTTTCTACTCTCAATCATAGGATTCGCAGTCGATTTAGCGAATGTCTGGAGGTTTCCTTATTTGTGTTACAGGAATGGCGGAGGTTTGTTAATTATCTTTTCAACGCATTCGATTTTCTAATTCGTCACATCTGTTTCCCTCTAAAAGGCGCTTTTTTGATCCCCTATACGTTGATGATGATATTCGGGGCTGTGCCCTTGTTTTACATGGAATTGATCCTCGGCCAGTACAATAGGCAAGGACCCATAAGCGTGTGGAGGATATGCCCATTGTTCAAAGGTTAATACCATACTGATCGCTGCTATTTATCACTTACTAATTACTAATTTTCAGGCGTCGGCTTTTGCGCTGTTTTGGTGGCGTTCTACGTCTCCTTTTATTACAACGTCATTATAGGTAAGTCATAAATATCATCAACTGTTGCTTAAAATCTTTGGTAATTTCTTGAAGACAAGATTTTAATATATATTTAGAAAATTAGCGAAAACAAATTGAAAGATGATATTACAATCTTGTACAGTTTACACATTACGAAATGTCATTTCTCAAATTGATAGTGTCAAATTTTTTAACAAATATTGACATATAACTGTGATAGTTTACCAAAGAATATATGTCAGAAATGGGAATGTTAGTAAATAAAAATAAAGGAGCTATTCAAATAACAATATTTTTTTACAAAGATAATACAACTGTCACAATTTGCTAAAGAAATATGATTTGGTGTGTTAAGGCCAACCATCGAATTGTTGAATATTGAAAAATAATTATTACTCTATGTCAAAAATATATGTTTTATTATTTGAGTCTAGAAATTTTCCAATGTATTTTCTTATAAATATTTTAAACCAGAAATAAAATACTATTATGTTTGCAGGTTTGTGGTATTTATGAGGAGTTTAATGGAATGTGGTTTTGTTGCAGCGTGGGCGTTGTATTTTTTAGGATCGAGCTTCAGCTCGGAACTGCCTTGGTTGCATTGCAACAACACATGGAATTCAGATATGTGCTGGGACAATGTTACTAAGCTAACTGTAAACGAGTCGGAGATGACCAACAGGCATTCACCTGCATCCGAGTTTTTCCAGTAAGTATACTTACCATTCTTCGCTTAAAAATATCCTACTTCTATAACTATTTATAGAAAAATTCTAATAAATATATGTTTTCAATACAAAATAATTAGTAAATATGGCATTAATCATAGATTTTCATAAATAATTATGTAACTACAAAAGTTTTTTAATGTACCTTATTTAAATAGAATGTTAATATTTTATCATTATTTCTAATGTAATATTATTACATAAGTATTACACAAATTATACAGAAGAAACTTTTTTAATAAGACTTTAAAATATATGATTAAATTTCTGATTATTATTTGATTATTTTTATTAAATATACATTGTAAATTAAATTTCACATGATGCTGTAATGAATACAGTAAATTATCGATCAAATCAAAAGAGTGCAAATAATATGCATTAGTTTTATTGTTAAAGCGTTTCCACGTAATTATATATGATTGTGTGTAATTGTTGGAGAGTCTATGCGAATATCTTAACTATTTTGATTGCATTGATTGGAACTATCAACGAGCCATCTGTTCATACGTAATTAGTGGGCTCTGTCCAAAGTAGCGACAAGCAGCATGATACCAACCTGAATACAGTGGAATTTCAGTAATCGAACATAATTCGTTTCTAAAGACAATCGAATTGTTCGAAAACCGAAACCTTAAAGAAGTAAAATTGCAAAATCTATTTTTGAAACCGAAACTTATTTAAACGTTTATAACAATAATTCGTTTGTAAAATAGTGTATACAAATAAACAATATAAAAATAAATACAATAATTTGTTAAAATATAGAAGAAAATAACTTAAAGTTGATAATGTAAAAAGATGGGGAAGAAGTGGAATAATTTACATTTTACAACTATATATTGTACGTGCCAGATTAGAAATTCTGTTCGAAGACCGAAATTATGTTATGAATTATTTGATAATCGAGGCGTGTAAGAACTGACTTTCCATTTTATTTTGTAGTTTTGATAATTACAAAAGAATTTTGCATTTGCTTTATAATTCTTCTCAATCCAAGGTTTTTCAATTAAAGAAAATAATAGTTAATTAACTATGCATCGTGTACAAATCCTTTTTATTTGCGTATAATTCTTATATAAATGATTCTAATCGAGAAAATTATAGCTTAATATATATATGGAAGTGTAAATAATTTGCGTATTTTGAATACTACATTGATTATATTTATCACCTATTGCGATAATAAATGCGGAAATCACGTTTTTGTGTTGTTGAAAATGAAAAATATGAGATAAACGATAGTGATTTGTTGGAATAAATAGTCATGTGAGGATATTGGTAAGTCAAATACGCAACAAAATCAATTTTGCAAGAGACGAGACCTAGACCTTCAAAAGGAAACAGGAAGTCATGAAAAGACAATCTCCTAAACAACAGCGTCATTCGCTTCAAAATCGATCGATTTTCAATATTTGATTAAAGCTTTTAGTACATCCCACTGTTCTATCGACAATTGAATTATTGATAGAATTATTTGATAAATAAATAAACTTTCTATTTTTATTATACATGATTATAACGTTTATTATAGTTAATTTGATATTAAAATATAAATATAAGTAGTTGAAACTACAAATAAACTATAAGTGAATGAGATAATTAAATGGTGCTAATGTAAAATTTACTTCACAAGTATCACGAGACATTTGTATCTCTCAGTTGTAACAACTGTTATATACAATTGGCAGTTATCTTCACTAATATAACCGATATAAGTTGATACGCCTGACAGTTTTACGTATTATCTGCATTATGATTAGTTGTTTTTTTTTGTAATTCTTTTACTGATTATATTTAATCATTTAACAAATATTTAATTAACATATGTATTATAACCAATTTTATTTAGTTATAATCTATTTAGTCATAATTGTTACTAGAAAATAAAATAAATATATTAGTTAATCTCTAATTTTGACGTTTTTGTAATGAGATTTCTAACTTTTTATATTTATTTTTAGCCGAAAAGTATTAGAAATGCAATTCAGCGACGGCTTGCACGATATTGGTTATCCGAAATGGCAATTGGTGGTTTGCCTAGTCGTGGTTTACACAATGCTCTACATTTCCTTATTTAAAGGTGTTAAATCATCAGGTAATTGACTCGAGTTCAGTCACGAACTTCTCAAGACTTACACGTTATTTTTTTTATATAGGTAAAGTGGTTTGGATAACAGCTACGATGCCCTACGTCGTCCTCACCATTCTCTTGATACGTGGATTGATGTTACCTGGAGCTCTCAAAGGAATCTCGTATTACTTAAAACCGGAAATGTCAAAACTGAAGGAAACTCAGGTATGACATATGAATGAAATTGTGCATATTTGTACACCTATCCCTTTACAAGGTACTCGATTTATACGATTTCGTTTTACACGGTTTAAAAAAAAAACATAAATTAAAAATAAATGTTAAAAATAACCTATCACTTGTTTTAAACGGTACTAGATTTATACGGTTTCGTTTTACACAGTAAAGTACATGTTTTCTCTTTTACGTTTAACACGTTGACGAAGGCATAATCCACCGGTGGTTCATAGGTTATGTATAATAGTTTTGTCGCTATGCACGCCACTATTTTTGACTAAGTATAACCACAAATATCTTACGTTAATTACAAAGCTTAAACACCAATACATTTCATATACATATATTAATAATGCTTGAAGCAATTTACAATAATACGTGATATTGTGACAAACATTTCTCACAATTATTATAAACTGTTTAAAAAAGATTAAAAAATGATATTTGACTTTTTGATCAGTCCATATGAGTTCACGTAGCACGCAAACTGATTTGCGCCATCTTTAACGTGTTAAAAAAAATTAAGTTAATAAATGTTAAATATAATCGATTTAACCGTTTTTTTACTCAGGAAAACGAGGGATAGGTGTATTATTGTTTGAACTAACTCTTACGTAATTATTTTTGAAATCTAAATTATGAAACTCTTTACTCTCATTAGGTTTGGGTGGATGCTGCAGTGCAGATATTCTTCTCGGTCGGTGCCGGATTCGGTGTGCATTTGTCGTACGCTTCTTACAACACATTCCATAATAATTGTTACAGGTGAATATAATGACTTTTGTATCTCTAAAAGATGTTATCATCGCTTTTGTTTTGTTGTTAAAGGGATTGCATTGTGACGACTGCCGTGAACTGTTTCACTAGTTTCTTCTCCGGTTTCGTGATCTTCACGTATTTGGGTTACATGTCGCATAAGCACAATGTTCATATTAGTACTGTTGCAACGGAAGGTACAGAATTGTGGAAAGTCGAGGAAGTGAGAAGTTGATGTGATTTATACTTTGTTATGTTTAGGTCCCGGACTCGTGTTTCAAGTGTACCCAGAGGCAGTTGCCACGTTGCCCGGATCACACATTTGGTCCATGCTCTTCTTCTTTATGCTCATCATGTTAGGATTAGACTCTGCGGTAATGCATTTATAACTTTAGATGATTTAAATGATCAAAACAATTAGTATATCATTTGGTACTCATAGTAACTAATTAATGTATGTATTTACGTATCATTTTTTCAAATTTTCGAACAGAACGATAGTGAATATTGAATATCCGAAGTAATCCTGTATTAATATTAAATAAATTATCTCACTTTTAAATGTGAGCAAATTATATTTAATTATAAAGTCAGAGTCAAAAGTTTTTCATTGGATATGGATGATTATGAGATTATTACTTTTTTTTTATAATTGGCGTTTTTCGGAGTATATTTTTACTAGAAACTTTTAGTTTCAATCAATTCAAGGACTTCAGTTAAGTTTTTGCGTAGAATTGCGATAATTGGTTATTATTTGAGATTTATTTATAAAATAATACAAGATTAAGTGTTACGAAAGGCTATTTACCTTTTTTATATAGAAAGTAGTGGTATGAGACAACATTAAATTAAAAATTAAACTTTGAAAATTCAAAAACATATTTTGATGTAGGAACATGATCACTTTTTGAAAATCAGTTCAAATTGAAACAAAAAATAACTAAATAGAATTGGAAGTAAAAAAAGTCAGAATAACATGTATTTGAAATTACATATTTACAATTAATATAAATGAATGAAAAACAAAGTTTATATGACTGAGAACATCAATCACTATTTTGAGAATTAATCTTCTATTTATTTGTTTTACGAAGTGCATTGATGTAATTTTGTATTAAATAGAAAATAATTGTTTTTGTATTGTTTGAGTGAGTGTTGATGACCGTTTTATTTTTACGTATCACGTAACATATGGACGGAGGCATTGCAATATCGTCTGAATGAAATGTGTAATTATTTCTGATTGGTTTTAATTGTTTGCATTGGTAGATGGGCGGTTTGGAATGCGTTATAACTGGAATTATGGACGAATTCGAGCCGCTGTTCAAGAAGTGTAAATTATCGAGAGAAGTGTTCACGCTGATCGTGATAATCCTCTCGTTTTCGGTCGCCACCATCAATGTGACACCGGTAAGCCGCTCATCCATTAAATTACAACGATCCATTAATTAATCTCGTTTTTTTGTTTGGTACTTCAGGGCGGAATCTACTTGTTCCATTTATTGGACACTTATGCAGCTGGTATTTCTCTGCTGTGTTCAGCTTTGTTCGAGGCGATCGCAGTTTCTTGGTGTTATGGTCAGTATTATCATTATAATAAATAATTATTAAGTATAGTAACACCTCATTTAGCGCTTCCTCAATTAACGCTAATTCATTATAACGAGATCAAATCCTAAAAAAGCATTGATTCTCAAAGTGTGGATTGCGAAAAATACTTGGGGGTTGCAGAAAAATTGATGACAGACGGGACGGTGTACCTATTCCTCGAGGGGTCCTTTAAATTTTGTATGTGCAAAGGGGGTCGTGGACCAAAAACTTTGAGAAATACTGATCTAAACGACGTTTCCTTTAGGTTTTAATTAGTATATACAGAAATTTATTCTTTTATTGAGATAATAACAATATCTATTGATATAAAGTAAATATCTCCAGATAAAACAGTTTTAAATAATAAAACTCATTGAATAATTGTAATACATTTTTTGTTCATTATCGCTTTGACAATTTGCAATTATTTTAATAAATATTATTTAATTAAAATAAATGCAATAGTAATTAAGTATAAAAATATATTTTTTTATATACATTTTTTTCTTTGAAATATATGTCATGTCATTTATATATTTCAAATTATAGTAGATAGAAAGATTTAGGTCGCAATTATTTCTGAATTTAGTAATAATTGTTATTATATTTATTAATTAATTAACTTTTTTCATATTTAAATTATTTGAACATGAGATAATTAAATAAATATTAAATTAACAAATATTAGTTTGTATTCTATCAAAAAGAAAAGTAATTGTATTTATTCCTCGCTTATGTCATAGAGTTATAATGAACTGATTTTTAGTATTTGTACTACGATCGGACAATGTACTTTCACGAATGATTTTTATGTTTGGACAAGAAATATATGTTAGGATAATGAAGACTTTATCGTGGTGATTAACCAGAAAAATAATAAGATTTTGGGGAATCTTTTGGTCATATTTAATATGCAATGAAATATGAAATTTTCACCTGTTTTACTCTTATTGCAGAAATGTATAATATCAGTTTTGTATTTGCATTCACAGTATTTTTGTATTGCAAAAATCAAAATTTCTGTTATTCTACTTTGAAATATGTAGGTTATTTTGACCCGAAATACACTCTACTGTATTGGAATATGCTGAAATAGCTAGAAAGTCAACTCCCAAAATTAAATTATAATAGAAAGCAATCCGAATGAAAACAAATATTAGGTGGGTCACTCTGACCCATTTGTAGTACTTATGGGTTAATGGACAATTCTGATAGAGAACATAGCATGTTTATAGTCATAGTCATTTATTTCCAAAAAAACAATCGTTTCATTTCCATAAAAAGTTTAAATATTAATATTTTAAAGATAAACGTTGCATCTGTTTTTTTTTTAATTCATAGTTTTTGTAAAAATATAAGAAATCTTTGAAAATTTATTTAATTTACAATAAATTTTATTAATTTTTATTTTCAATTTCAATTTCAGGTATAGTCATCTGTTGTTGTTTGTGTGTATGTTTATTCTTAAGAAGATATTGAGTTGCGTATTACTATTTTAGGATTGGACAGATTCACGCAGGACGTGGAAAGCATGATCGGCATTAAGCCCGGTTTGTACTGGAGGGTTTGCTGGAAATTCATCAGTCCCCTATTTATCATCGTGAGTGAAGACGAACCGAATCATCTAAATCCTCAAATTATTATAATCATCTTCTTCTCTCTTCTCACCACTAGGGCGTAGTAATATTCGGGTTGTTGTATCCACAGCCATTGCAATACAATGACTACTTTTACCCATCGTGGGCGAATTACATAGGATGGTTCCTAGCGTTATCCTCGATCCTGATGATTCCCATCGTCGCGGTGATCCAAATCCTCAAAACCAAAGGATCCTTCATGGAGGTAAATCCAATTTAATATAATTAAAAATAGAACAACTACATTCTTCAATTTCAGAGGTTGGCCATAAACATCTCACCGATGGAAGAACATACGGCGATCAGAGAAGAGAAGAAAATCAGCAGATTCAGAGCCAAACATTGGCTGTACGTTTAAGACTTCTTGTAGATAATAATAACGTTGTTCGTCGCTTGAAAAAATGCGCGTGTAAAATCTCAATAATGAATATGTGAATTTCTTTGTGTTGTATAACGATATTATGTGGATACTTGCATGCTGGTTCATGTGCTATTTATTTATTGCGTAACAGAAACAATATTGCCTTCGTATTGTTTCTGGTTCACTTTATATATATATAAAATATATATGAAAATATATGTATATGCTGTAAGAATTGAATTAGTCGTTGTAAGTTAGGGATTTTTATTTCATATGTACATATGAAGAACAAAATGATGTAATAAATAAGGTTAATATATAAATAAATTATTAGAATAGTAATCAAGCTTTTTTTATTTCAATTCGTTTCAATTATTTCTTATTAATTATGTTATATAAGCCTAAATCTATTGATCCAATTAAAAATATCCGTTAAAAACAATCATTTTGGTATAGAAGTATTGTTTTCTCTTGCATCTGGTAATCTTAGAATAAAAAGTATTTCTGAAAAGTACATAAAAAACGATGTAATGAAAAAGTTTAAATTTGCAAAATTTCTTACCGTTGGGTCGATATCGTATACGCATTTATGCAACTCGTAAGCTCTTTCGCAAACATCCTCAGATTCTAAAAATTAACAAATTTTTATGAAAATTTCAACCGATTTTTTATAAATTAAACTTACTCAATTTATTCTTGCAAGTGTTAACCATTTTACTTATAGGTTCAGCAATATCATCCGGCAACTGCTTCTTTATATCATCGGTAAATGTCACTTTCCCATCTTCAGCCATCTACAATTTTCCAATTAATTTCCACAAAATTAATTAATTTCTATATATTACTCACAGCTCCGAAATTCACAGTGATGCATTTAATATAACACTAAAAAAAAGAACAAATCAATAAATTGGATTCAACGTTAATAAAATTACCTTAAATTTGGGATCATCCGGAAATTCTCCTTTAAGCGCATTTGGTATCCTTTCTAATAACGAATTACATTAATATTTAAAAAAATATATATTTTACTCTAATTTTTTATACCTTCATCAGCCCCAGTTTCTTCTATGCATTTAGCATGCAATGCCTTAGCCAGATTTTCATCCAAACCTGCGTACTAAAATAAATAATTTGTATTGTGTAACTTAAAATCGTTGCTTATTTAAGTGTTCTTATGCAACAAGTATGTACTCACAGCAGCATTTATCGCTCCAAGAATGAAGACGAGAAGCAATGTGGCTGTATTCATTTTTTTGAATTAACCTAGAACGCATCTGGTAGCTCTTTATATATACATTTTAATTGATATAATTCGAATAATTATTTCGAAAACATTGCATGTTTCCTTACATAATTTCCAAGCGGTTGTCATATGGGTAATGGATACCAATATGTGTCGTATTTAATTAGTATTCCTTACGTGCATAGTTTTTTCTCTTAATGCGTGCAAATCATGTGATTAAAGTCTAGATTAAAATAATAATAATTAGTTGTTGTTATGATTTTTGTCTTAAATATCTGTTTTTAATTGTTTAAATAATTTCCTTTTTTTTCTACTAAATTATTTTTTTACTTGAAATATTAAAGAAATTTACTTTACTTACTTTTATCTACATTCGAATTACGTCTTTAAGCAAAATTTAGATTTTGTTTCTAATAAGGTTTTCTAAATATTCCACTGAAAAACAGCCAAAATACAATATATTTGTTTCGTCTTTATTGACATTTTAGAAGTTATTTATCTGAATAACTTCTTTTCTAATTTCTTGGATGTTTTTTCTAGTACATATACTGATCATATTTTACGCCAAACTCCATTTAAGCATTTCTTAGTGATTTCTTTCAAAGAACGATAATTGTTTTAATTTTTTTCAAAAAAAAAAATGTTCGACGTAGATAATAAGCTTTCAATGTTGCTATTATTCCCTGATTCAACGATTGGATTGTTGTATTTTTTAGAAGAAATTGTATACGTCGTAAAATCAAAGCTTTGTAAATGTTAACCAAGGTAAATATGACGTAGCTTAAACGATTAAATTATTATCCAAAATATGCAAAACTTGTCATTTTACTATTTTTTTGATATTTTAAATTACTAGTATTTCTTCTATAAAGAAATTTCAAATGGAAAAATGTTTTTTTTATCAAATATACCACAAGAATAAATCTGTTCAAGGTTATTATTGTTTTAGATCGATTTGTCATAGATTTCGTTCTATGAACTAATTTTGTTGTTAGAATTACAGAAAATTCAGTAATTGACTTAGAATCAAGAATGTAATATTAATATTAGGTAAGACGTTGATCACATCATGACTATTTAGATTATATAGTTTATATAGGAAAAACATTATGAAAACATAAGGTATCACAAAAACCAATTACATCTATAGATACATCTTATCATACAAGAATATACAAGAAGTGAAAATTAGATTTGTAAAAATTTGTAAAAATATAAATTATTTTCTTTATTATTGTAGAAGTTATCCCATTTTTTTAACTTAATTCGTCTTCATTTTACTTCAATACATTTTCATTTATATTCTTGAGCAGAATAGTTGTGGCCAATAACCTTTTGAAGTTGTACCTAATTAATATTTTGATTGCAATATTAATTTTATGTATAAATTAGTTTATTTGAAGATAGAGAAATAATATTAGTAATTATTGTTATACTTTTTCCTAATACGTCCTTCATTTAAGTTAATTAGCCTGATGTGATATTAGCATGTTGTAATATTAAATTAGAAACAAAAACAAAACATAATTTATTCAACTTTCATTTTATAGAATCTTATTGAATAAATTTTTACACTACACTTAAAACTTGTAATTTGTGACACGTTTAAGGAGAATTAAATTGTAAAAAAATGCGACATGGATGTTTTTAAATTATTTCTTTATTTAAAATAAAGATTGCATAGACATGCATATTATCACCAAGTTAATGTAGACAAACAATTGGAGTAAAATTACATATATATATATATTTTTTGTATATAAAGAAATTACAACAATCGTGGAAAGGAGTAGCAGAGTAAAATAAATAATTTTTAAATCGATGGCCTTAAAAAAAATTAGATTGTATAGAATATAAACAAAATACTAATAATCGATATGCATTGAATCGATTTAATATGATGCAACTTTTGATAAATTAACTCTTTGCATTAATAATTTTCGTATTGTTTTTTTTATACAATTACAAGTAATAATACATTTTCTAATAAATAGTCTCATTCACACGGAAATACACGCAAACACACAGAGTTCTGGGTACGTCAATTCACTCACTAATTATGTAATAGTCTACAATTGGATTACACACGATTCTTGGATTTGATGCACTTCCCTTTATAGCAGATTTCAGTTTCGTGCGAGATTTCCGTGGATGTTGTTGTCCATGTCTCCAAACTCATCGGGGTGATGAAACTCATTGGATTTTTTGTAGTTGATTCTTCCGGAACTTTGTCTGTTGTTAATGAAGATATATATTCAGTTGTTGCCTCATCTTCAATATATTCTTGATCTTCTTCGGCGTTTATAGGTTCAAACGTTGACGATTCCTCGGTTACTTCTGGTACGTTAGTTGTTTCCTCTACATTGGTATTCGTAGTTGTCTCTTGGGTATCCTCATCTTGAGACATATTAAACATTTCGTACAGGGAGTTGAAAATACTGCCCTGAGTAGATGTTGTTGTTGGGGGAATAGTAGTTATCTCTTCCACGGGAGCTTGAGTTGTTACTGCTTCTTTAGATTCATCTTTGACCTCGAGTACATGCAATTTACCAACGAATCTGACCTTGTCATTATCAGATACGGAATTTATTTTGATGCTTGGTACGTTCTGTGACTCAGCTCCTTCCAAAACGTCGACTGGCCTTTTGACAAGTTTCCAGACTCCTCGTCTCCTAGCTTTTGTTGTTGTCAGCTCGTCAAACATCTTTGTTGTTGTTGCAATTTCCGCTTCTTCAGTAGCTTCTTCGCTCGTAACAACATCTTCATTAGGATAAAAATTTTCGACGTTATTTAATTTAAGACTGATTGGATTGTTCACTGGTTTTATGTTTAAATCGCTTTCCGAATTTTTGTTATTATTTTCTTTGGCAACATAAGTTTCTCTGATGATGGATGAGTAAGGAACTTGGTCATCGATGTTTGGGTCAACTGTTATTTGGAAAGTTGGTCTTTCAGTTGCGCTTGGTGATTTGTAAGGTACCGGGTAATTTCCTCCCTCAACGTCTTCATCTTCACTGCTCTCTTTGGTTTTGGCTTTAACTGGTAATTTAAAGTGGGTGCTACCACGGCTTCTACCCCTAATTGGTGTACGTACAGACGAATCTTCTTTAATAGATAATTCGTTGTAGTTCTTGTGATGTGGCTCTTCAGTGGTTACCCTAACCCTTGCTGGTCCACGCAATCTTCCTCGTATTTTCACTTTAGATTCTTCTTGATAGTGCTTTTCAGTTTGAGCATCGGTGACTTCAAAGTATTGAGGTGCGCTCGTTGTTTGATACTTCGGTCTGATTTCGCCAATGAAATGAACCGGCGTTGAAGCATCGATATTTTCAGAAACGTCGACGTATTGAACTAACGGCTTTAATGTACTGCTGATGTAAGTGGAGGAATAAACTTGTCTTTGGGGAGTTTCAACAGGTGTTGGCGCTTCCTCCACAATTGGTTTATTGAAATTAGGTTGTCTGAAGAAACCGTAAAACTCTTCCTTATCGGCTTCCTTTTCTGTCGTTATCTCTACTAACTTCCTGGTGGTTTCACGATGTGGTTGTGGGGTTGTTGTAGGTCTGGGTCGGCTTCTGATCCGAGACTTTGACCTGCTTGAAACACGATCAGTGGTGGTGTCATGGTACTCTTCGAGATTTTTTATTGGCAATTGGTTAATTTCGTGTACGATCATTGGTTCAGTGGCAGGTCTGCTGATTTCCACGTTAATAACCGGTTCATTTAAAGAATCTTCGTGTTCAACTGGAATGTTATAAATTGGTTGGTAATTCTTAATAACAAATTGATCCTGATCGATGGCAATTTGCTGCTTTGGTGTGGAAATTTCCTCAATATACCTAGCAGTTGATGGTTGCTCCGGAGTTATGTTTTCGGTATAATAATCTGCAACTGTGGTTTCAGCTTGTGTCGGTCTTCCTCTATTTCTGAATCTTCGAGATGTTAATATTTTCTTTGTGGGATCGGTTGTGCTGCGATGTAAATTGTAATGGGAAGTGGATGAGTCTTCTACGTATCTAGTTCTTGGAGTTGTGGGTCTTCTCCTCGGAATATTCCTCCTTGTATTATATACGCTACTATCTGTAGTTGTAGTATATCTGTTACCACGAACTCTTCCTCGTGTCCTCCTTGTAGTTGTTGTATCTGGTATATGAGTAGTTGGAGCTGGAGTTGTTGTGGTGGTGGTTGTAGTTGTGGTTGTTGGAGGATACGTCTCTACTTCAATTAAAGCAGGTTTAACTGTTGATGTGGGCACAAGACCGGGATGAAGCAGTTGACGAATCGATTGATCTTCTAAATTATTAATCAAACTTGGCAAGACCTGGTTCATCGGGTTAACGTGATGTGGCAAATTATAATGTTCTATGTTTGCATTTTGCGTTTTTACATCAGAGACTTCTTCGCTTTCGTAGCTGCTCTCAATAGGTTTGTATTGGGGTTGGGATTTATGAACAATCTCCACCTGTTGTGGTCCCGTGACGTAATTCGCATTTTCATGTGGTTGTCGCAAAATGTAGCTATCCATAACATCTTGATTTAACAAATGTTGATTATGTCTCAACGGTTTCTCGGTGGTGCTATAAATTGGCCTTACAATGTACTGCTCTTCTTCGTGTTGGGGATACACATTTCTGTTCTTATTGTCGACCTCTGCGTATTTGTAATCATTTTCATCTGAATCCGTGTAGTGATGTCCTTCGGTTGTCACGTGCTTGGGAGTTGTGGCAACGGGAATGTCGGAGTATTCAGGCGTGCTCGGGTATGCTTTAATGTATTGCTCATTGTATGGATCTTCCTTATACTTAGTCGGTTGTTTCCTTGAACTTCCACGCGTTCTGTGGCCTTCCGTTACAATCTCTTTGATGTAAACCTCTTGCGGAGGCGTAGTCGTGGACGGGCGCGTCCTCTTTGGTGCCGGCCTCGCTACCTCTTCGTAACTGTAATTGTTTTGATCGATAATTTCGTGATGGTACTGTTGTTGCGGTGTGGTTCTAACATCCTGAATGACTTCCTCGAGATATTGAGCATGAGGAGTAACAGTTGTACTTGGTCTTGCTTTTGGTACATAAGTCTCGGTTTCTTGATAGTATTCTGGTGGTGGAGGTGGCGGAGGAGTCGTTGTTGTAGTTGTTGTTGTGGTGGTCGTAGTTGTAGTAGTCGTGGGTCTTGTCCTAACTCTGGAAGGTCTAGTTGGAGGGGCCTCTTCGTAGTTGTAATTTTCTTGTTCGTAATGTAGATACGGTTTAGCTGTGGTGCTTCCACGAATATTGGTATGAGTATTCCTCACTTGTTGATTGGTATTATAAATAAATTTGTTTTCTGGAATCACCTCCTGTGTATATTGTTCTTGAGTATTCAAAGTCTGCGGTTTCCTGACAACTTCTTCCACAACCTCTTTAGGTTTTTGTTTGATAATCGGTTGCTGCTTTCTGTACTGTTCATCGTAAGTCTCAAAGTTATATTTTTCAGGAACTTGCTGTTGCAATTGCGGGATGAAGGCGTTGATTTGGTCTAAATCAAATTGATTGAAGATTTGCTGATTGGCAGCGATTGGTTTGGAGTACGTGGGAGGAGATATCGTCGGTTTAGTAAATTGTTCTTGATACGGTTTGTATTCAATATTGGGAATAGTTTGCACGTTTTGCACCGGTGTTACTATAGTATCTTTGTCGTGAAGCTTTTCTTTGGTGGAAATTACAACTGATCCGACATGTGGCGATGGAAGAGGAATTTTTGAGAAACCAGGTGGAGCTTTGTAACTTAATGGAGCAACGAAGAATGGCAACTGATCAACTTTACGCTCAACTCTGTTATTGTCCAAACTAGAAAGATAGGGAAGTTCGAATTTGGCGTAATCAATTGGAGCTTCGAGGTTTGATGGTCCGACAAAGATCTTTGGAGAATCAGGACCGACGCTGTCTTGAACATCGATACTTTTAGCATCTTTCAACAATTGAAGTACGTCGTTGACATCGGCTTCCCTGTCACCTGTCATGTAGACAGCTAAAGGCGGTTGGTGAGGTTTGCGTTTCTTGGCTGTAGGTCTTCTGGTAGTTGTCGTAGTTGTGGTTGTTGGTGGAAGAGTCGTTGTTTCAATCATCGGTAGAGCGAATGGTTGCTGGTTTTCCAGTTGGAGTTGAAGCTTGTGAGCATCCAATGCTTGCCTTATAAAATCATTCTGAATATCGTGGATTTGCTGCTGCTTGTTCAAATACGGTTGGTAGTTGTTGAACTGTTGCTGAGGCTCGATGTTAGGTATTTGTGGATAGGCTTGTAACCTGGGGAAGTTTTTCTGATTCAATGATTCGTATGGGACGTAGAGGAGCTGTACGCTTTCTTTTTCAACGGATGGAGGATTGGTAGCGATTTCAATTGGTTTGGGAAGCTCGGGTTTAGGGGCCAATGGAACTGAAGCATTTACTTTGATTGGAGGAAGATCCGGGATGATTGGTTGATAATTTTGGAAAAGCTGTTGCTGCTGGATCAATCCATGTTGGCTAAGATATTCCTCCGGAATAGTATGGTACTTTTGTTTTTGCGGGAATTGCTGATAAAGTGGTTCATTGACGAATTGTGGTTGCTTAGGTTGTTGCACGTAATATTGCTGTTGAGTGGTTTCCGGTTTTTGTCCTCGTTGTCTCGTCGGTGCTTGTGGGCTTTCGAATCTGTAAGGGTAGCTTTGAGGTGCTGGATTCTGAGGCTTCCTCCTCGACTGCTGTTGTGGTTGCTGTTGCTGCCTGAATGGATTCACGTTAGTTGTCTCCCTCAAGAATTGCTGGAAATTGCCTCTAGGTTGTTTTTCATCTGGGAAGAAATTGCTTTGCGGAGGATCAGCAAGATTCAGGACTCTGGCTGTAGCCTTTTTCTCTGCAGGTGGAGCGGCTGCTTCTTCTGTTGTTTTGCAGGTGGGACATGGTTTGGCTATTGGGATCCAATCGTTGGAATCTTCGGTTTTGGCATCCTCGCAATTCGCAAATGCAAAGAATAACGCGACTGCGATCAACGACATCCGAGTTTTCCTCAAAATCTGAAACCAAAGAAACTGTATAGTAAAAAAGGAAAAGTTAAAGAACGTTGCCGGAGGTCAATTAATTGGACCTGGACTTTCTCTTTCCAGTAATTATCCTCCTATCATTATTATTTACGTGCAGTAAATGATATCCTTCTTTATTATCTAGAATTTTAAAGCACGACATGTGATTTGTTTTCTTTTCAAACATGCTACTTCGTACAAATGTAATTACACAAAAAATCAAGTAACTAAATTTCTTAGAATTGTTTGATTTTCTTATAACACATTGTTATACTATATTTTGATTTCTACAAAATGTTTATTTATTTATAATTAACTCAAGGTCATTGATCTTAGTGGAACTTTTTACATATAAATCTTGCATCAATTACATCAATAAACTAATTTTGATAAGACTTCTTGGTAAATTACACAATCCTCAACTATTAAACTAACGTTGAAAACAAATACACGTAAAGTGAGGATGAAAGATGAAGAGAAGAGAAAAAAAAATAGAAAGTGTTACACTAAACTTAACCTTGATGCAACGTGAAGGCCAGCTTCGTGTACAAAATGCACACAGATCTTTTGTTTCGTAACAGTGGGTCAACAACACCTACTTCAACTCTTTACAATAGATTTTCATCTCGTGAGGAAATTTCAAAAGCGCGAAACGTTGACAATCGTTGTAAATATAATTACATGGAAATTAAGTGCGCACAACTCCATTAAGATGAACCAAAAACAAAACAAACGTTGAAATAAAATAACGAAGAGACATTTACTTTAATAAATGAAACATGCCGCGAAGAAAGCTCAATCCATTAACCAGTTTAATTTCAAAATAAATAAATAAATTATATATGGAATGAAGGAATGAAAAAAAAAAAGAAAATAAAGAAAAAATGACGAGAAAGTTGGACGTGATTCTTCTTTTACAGTCTAATAAATCGGGAGTAGAAGAAAAAAATGGATTTGCATATCATCGAGAAAGTTAAAAAAATGTATTTCGTTGATTGATTGAACTTTATAGTTTAATAATTCGGATTAATTGAATATTAATGACTAATAGTTTTGGTATTTAGAAATCTTTGAATTATGTTTCTATAAGATACTATCAATTTCGTTATTTATAAGATTTCTTAGTTTATTTAAAATAAAGTTGATTAATTAGTGTTTTATATTAAATTATACAAATATATGCTCATTTCAATTTAAATACTTTCTATTACTCAATGGAATTACTTAAGCAATGCAAGTCGTTGAAAATAGACGAACGGATGATCTTTAAACTTATCGGAAGAAATAGAATAAAATTCTAGTAAAAGTAGATGAATTATGATATATTAAAAAGAATCTATAAAAATAATTGTAATATATTTATATATGTATTTCTTGGTATATTGACCCACCTGAAAAGAGTAATGAAATACCGATGAAACTTCTATAAAAAATAATTATAACTAGTTGGAGTATACTTTCAGACGGGAAAATATACTTAGAAATGCAAGTAAAACATTAAATTAAATTAATTAGTTGTCATTATTATTAATTTTATCTTTTTTCTTGTCAATGAGAAAAGTTCAAGAGATCTGTGTACTATTTAAATTACATAAATCCGGAAACTATAAATAATTACGTATTCTCGTTCAGTCACGACATTGCAACATACGGAAAGTGCTTTGAATATTAAAAAGAAAACAAACGTGTCAATGCGAAAGAAGGCCAGAAAACAACTTTTGAAATTCACGTGAAAAATCCATTGTCCTCAAAAAAAAAAAATAACACAATTATGAAGAAAGACACTGTGCAAATAATATTACCTAATTAAGAATGTTTTTATTTGGGTCATTTATAAAATGCCTCGATTAGTCCGGATTCACTATAATACAAATTGAAAATTTCAAAACAAATAACTCTCTTTTTGTGCGGTTTATATTTGTATACGGAACCGAGTATTCATAAAATCATACATATTTTCTTTTTACAGGGATTCAATTGTAATTGGTTTGTGCATTAAGAATATTTAGATATTTAACAACGTATTATATAATAAATTAATTTCAATTGAGTTGAACAGAGACGATCTGTAACTAAACTTTGATCATAGCTTAATAAACTATGAAATGATCAGTTACTACATTTACTTAGAACCGTTTACAATTATTCGATAGTCACGATTGAAGAATCTTGTGATCAATGAAGAGGAAAATCAACAACAAATACAGTAATTGCATTACATAATAATATTTCAGTATTGTCTAAAAAACTATATTTTTACAGTTAATTTATAGAACATTGAAACAATAAAATAAACTATCAATATTGTAATGCTGTAACCACACTGTTCATGAAAAATACATATTTGTGTGTCAGATATACCAACTATTATATATTGTGTAATTTAATGATTTAATAGTATTACTATATATAAGATATGTATAGTAAATTCATAAATATTGTGTATAATGACAGTTTTGTCTCATGGACAAAAATGACCATAGGTCTTCAAAATATTACATATTTAAAAAATCACAGGTAAAGACTGTGTTGAGCAGATCTTTGTATATAAGAATGAACGTATATAGAATAAATTATGTTTTGAAGAGAATTATTTTCAATTAATAATAAATAAAAATAAGTAAATTAATATGTATAAAATTTCAATTTAAATGATTGTTTCTATGCGTGATGTTTTGAACTTTCAAATTTATTAGAAACAGACAACATCCGCGCCAAATGCATTTTAATGAAATAACTCGCATATTTGCGGCTCACCTGCAAAACAAAAATCAAATATGAGCCGTACCATGGGAAATCAATCAGAGTGCAACAGAGTCTAATTATACGTATTAACTTTGCATATGTAATTGCTGGCGTGAGAATATGTTTAACTCTAAACAGATTAATTTAAATAAAACATACACAGCGTATTTTCCAGACGAACTTTCTCTATAACTCATTTACAAATATGTTTTCTGACTCAGTTATAAATTGCACGATCATCGATTTGTTGTTTCGATTAATGAAAGACGGATAACTTCCATATGCTATTTGATTGCTTGTAATAGTTAAGCAATGGATGGGAAATCTGTATGTTTTTCTTTATTATTAGAGACAATTAAAATGATAATTGAAGAATCAGTTATTAATGAGTTAATCATTGATGAGAAATCTGTACGTTTTTAATTAGTTGAGACAATGGTAATGATACAATATATTTTTAGATATACTTTAGATTTACAATAATACAATTTCATTAATTTTATTGTTTTTAAACTAATACACAAATAATTCAGTATATAATGACTTTAAGTATAAATATAGAAAACATGGTCAATGAATCAAATTAAATTCGTATTTTCTTTACTAACAAGTAAAATAATTGTAATAAATAAATTAAGAGTTTTTCCTAATTAAACTTTGATAAAAAAACACATTTTTCGATTTTATAAGAATCAATTAAAAGATTGGCAATACTAGATTTGAAAATAATTTTAAACGCTTTGTATTTCGTAGATATTGATCAACAAAAATAAAACAAATTGCTTTTATCATGCGATGTAATTAAAGATTTTCACAATTTTATTTTTTAGTAATATTCAAATTCATGCTAAATACACTACATATTTCAGCTAATTACTTTATTTGTTGACATTATTTCAAAATTATATTTTAGACAAATGTTGAAGCTATACTCAATGTATAATAAAGATTTTTTTTATCCCAAGTATATTTTAATACAATCTTATTTTATAAATTATTAAAAAGCAAATTTATATAATTATTAATCATTATCATTAAACATTATTATTTCAATTTGAAATTACAGACAAATTTACTATCTTCTTTTTTATAAATTTTGAATTTGAAAGCCCTTTTAATTATAATGTACTTAATGATAATTAATAGACTTGTCAAGTAAATGAACTATTTATATTTCAATACGTGACAGTTTTCATAAAGATTTCTTTATAATGATAAGATGTATCTAACTTTAGAGACATTTTTTTAGAAAATAATATATTCTTATCCAATTAGGTGAATCCCAAGCGCATTCCTAGATATTTGTCTTTGTCGAATGGTGGGATTATTTAGATTTCATCTCTATTAGTAAATTTGGTAAAATATTACAATTTGAGGGAAAATATCACACTCTTTACATTGTTAAATATTATTTCACAGTTTTTTGTGTATAATTTATAATTTGTTGCAATAGTTACAACTTAATTTCCTAATTATAATAATAATTATGATTCTTTATAACTTGAATAATAAAGCAATGATTATAAATATTTATTTATTTCGAAATACACTAATTAATAATTAGTAAGAAAAGAAATATAATAGAAAACATTGCATTATTTCATTAATTATTTATACTTAAGAGAAGAATAAGAGAATCAAATGAATGCGTTTTATAATTTAATGTAAAAATAAGTTGAGAATGAGACACACAAATGTATGCGTTTTTTTAAATAATTGTTTATAAATTGGGTTGATAATTAACTTAAGAATTAAAGACGTGCCTAACGGGAAAGTAAGACTTTCAACGTGAGATGCAATCCGATATTCGTCTTCTCCATTCAAACAGCTTTTAACAAACTAAACCAAGCAATAAATTATATTGCGTAAGTGGACAATATATTAGCAGTGGAATCCCGTTGCAACCAGAACCAACTTTTACTTCGTTATTTCATTTTATTTATTTTTTGTGGGATGGAACCGTTTGAATGTACCATTGCTGTTCACCTACTTTACAATTGCAACTGTAGCAAAACAAGAAGCAACATGAAAGAAAAAGGCGTCGAAGAAGAAAACGCTATGTCTGAACATTAGATGAACATGGGCGGCCGTAATGGCAGCACTTTCTATAAAAAATACTCGAATGCCAGCCATTCCACTCAGAAAGTACGCTTTTCATGTTCTCGTTAGAAAACGGATTCTAATTGCGGCCTGCAGAACGTATCCAATCGGAAATCGTTATTAATAACAAACAATAATTGCACGCACGAAACCCACCGGCCGACAATGGTTACGCAATTCCGGATCATTTCGTGAATGCTTGAACTGCGGATGCATTGGGTAACAATTTCATTAATTTTAATTACTGTTTGTATTTCGCCGATCGTCGATCGATCGGATATTCCAAATCCGGTCACAATTCAAGTGATCTGTTAGAATTTATTAACTATTCATTTAATTTATACCTATTCGCAATTTTCAATGTGCTTTGAAATTAAGTATTGTGTAACAATGAATGTTAGTGATTATTATAAAGTAAATTATTGTGGTCATGAAAATATCAACCAAAATTGTTTACTTTCACATTAATCATACAAATAATCTATTAAGAGAAAATTTAATTTTCAATATTTAAAAAAAAATAACAAGAAATATTGTATAACAACAGATATTAACAGTTATTTTTTGTACGTATATTGTTATTGACATATTGACAAATTTCGATGAAAATAAAATATTTCTCAATGAAGATGAAAATTTATTTACAAATATTGTTTATTGTGAGGACAGAAAAATAATGATCTTATATTATTATTGTTTCAAAATGTTTATTTCTTTATGTAATTGTTACAATAAAGACAATTATTACTAGTTTTATGATTAACTAATTACATTTACATAAATGAAGTTTTTTCACAATCTTCAGTGTATTCTAACAATTGATATAAGCATAAAAAGAAAAATTAATATTTTTTTTTGGTTAAAAAAATAATTATAATTAAACATTATGAATAATTTGCAAGAATGTTACAAATAATTTATGATTTATTGTGTTTTGAAAATTAACCTGTAGTATCAAAAAGTCAAACAATGTCAAGACTGCACAAGATGAGGTCAATCAACGTCATAATGACGTCGATTAACGTTACGTTGAAGAAATGATTTTAGATAGCTTTTCTGGTTCTATTTTCATGAAATGTCAAAAGTCAAACAACGTCATAATGACGTTACGTTGAAGAAATGATTTCAGATAGCTTTTCTGGTTCTATTTTCATGAAATGCCAAAAGTCAAACAACGTGAAGATTGTTCAATATGAGGTTGATCAACGTCAGAATGACGTAGATCTACGTTTTGTTGAAGAAATGATTTCAGATAACTTTTCTGGTTCTATTTCTATGAAATGTCAAAAGTCAATCAACGTCATAATGACGTTACGTTAAAGAAATGATTTCAGATAGCTTTTTTGGTCCTATTTTCATGAAATGTCAAAAGTCAAACAACGTCAAGATTAATCAACGTCATAATGACATAAGATTGGTGAAAATGAGGTTAATCAACGTCATAATGACTTTTTAAACTTGATTTATAATGTGATTTCCATATAAACTCATGACTTAAAATTGTTCTATTCCCTAAATTTTTAAATAATTGTTGTTATAGTTAAAATATTTTCAACGAAATTTTAATAGTTATTTTCGAAACATACATTTGTTTACATAACGGGAAACAATTCATAAAATGTATTAGGTTTTCAAAATAGATTACAACATACCAATTTATTTTAGAGAGGAATCACTAGATGATCTCTAGAGACACCTACATAGTTAACAGTTCATATGTTTCGTCAAATAAAGACCATTCATACTTCTTATAAGGGGTGAAAGTGAAACCTATCAAAGTACTGATAAATAGTTATTGGATTTAATTATAGACATATTTACGTTATATTTTAGAAAATCATATAATTCCAGCTGTAACTAAAGTATTCAATTACAATTTTTTTTATATAATTATTTGCTTTTTTATAAATACAAAGGACGTTATTGTTTTTTATTATTCATATTGAATGAAGGTAATTTTGTAGCTGTGCTGTTTTATAATTGATCCGCTCTAAAATTACGAATTCGCGCTCGAGTTTTGTTACGTAAATGCGAGATTCAATTAAGCGAGAAGAGAATGAAACAAAAACGGCTTGCACAACATTCGATAGGAGGAAATGGTATTAAATATCAACGGTGTTGCCCTTTGTTTTCTACTATTTTTTTTGCGTTGTTGTTACTATAACTTGTAGAAAAATCCATCCGCATATTGCTGTTTTCTATTCACAAAGCGTGACCGGAAAGGAACATAACTCCAATTAATGGAAATTGTTTGCAATTAGAATCGCATCGCAAAACTTTAGAATTATTTAATTAATTAGCGAAATAATTATGAGGCAGAAATCATTGAACTAATTTATATAGAATTTTTTATTTTTTTTATCTTTAAATTTAGTAAATCCATGTATTTTTCAGTTTAATAAAACTATTGTTTTATTTACATCAATAATTTCAATATTTAAAAATTAGTTTTAAACTAAATATTTTATCGACAATTTCCACTCAAATTTTCAAAATTGATAAATACATTTTTTTACGATTTTTGGTCAATACGAATTTAATTTTAACAATAATCAATACATCTATACAAAATTTCACTAAAACATTAATAACTTATTTTTTTTTTGTAAATTAACAAATTAGAAACATAAAATAAACATCCCGTAGAAATTGTTAATAATTTATTGTTACAACTTTCTACGATTTCCATAATGACTCTAATTATTTCAATAAACATACTGATTTTGTGTTTTCTTAACTAACATTTTTATTCTCAATGAAATATTTGAAACATTATTTCATTTATTTATAATTTTTTATTTCATTAACAATATTTTACTCAATGAAATACTGAAAATCATTAAAATCTAATTTCATTAAATGTAATATCATTTCTTATTTATTTAAAAAATGTTTATGAAACTATTGAGTTTCATTTAAAATATTTAGGAAATTTGATTTGTATTTTTTTTTAAATTATTGATTTATTATTTAAATATAAACTTACCATTTTTTTTTCAATTATTTTATGCTGTATCCAAGAGAATCAATAACAGTTTACTCGAATCCAAAAACTGATATTGAATTTGAAAAGTAATAATTGAATAGAAAAAGTTTCAAAATATCGAACGCTGTGTACTAAATACTATAGTATTTGTTGAAAGTACGTAAGCCTGGGTGCGTATTCACTGATAGGAGCACTGCATCTCTCACTCAAATACCAAATATCACTGGTTCATGTTGGAAGGAACACTTCAACCCGGCAAAGGAAAGTCTTAGAGCGGTCGGAGATTGCCTTCTTATATGTGCTACAAAAGTGTAAGAACGTTGAGTGAAGCAGTTGGTGGAAGAGGTGGGGAAAGAAACATCGAGCGTGTGTTCTACATCGCATCCCTTAACAAAGATCAAAACAGCTGTACATAATAATTTTATTGCAAATTCTTCAATTCAAATTTATTTGAATAGTTCAATAAAATTTATTAATTTATAAATCAAATGTGTTAACAATTTTTTCTAATGGACAGGAAATATGGAAAAAAGGAAATAATTTTATTCTTTCCGGTATTTAGATGTGTCTACGATTGGATATAATGATGATAAGTATAGTTTTTTGTCGTTGTCATTTGCTTATTGAAAAATAAGTTGGGGAAAGTCGATTTTCCCTTTTTATGACTATATTTTTCCTTTCGGAATTTATCATTATTTAAATTGTAGTTCTTCAGTACTTTCTTTCATATTTTACGCAGGATGTTGGGTGACAGTTTTTGGTTTCTAATAGAATTATGAAAAGCTTAGTTAGGAGGTCAAAGCAACTAAGATTCAGATTTTAGATTGTTACTTTTAGGTATAAACAATTTCTTGTAGCAAATATTACGTGTATAGAATTATTAAAATTATTTTAGTAACTTGCAATATGTTGATTAATATATACAGGAATTCCTTACATAGTGCGGGAAACAGCTAAAATTGCGAATATTACTTTATTATTAAAGAGTTTAATAATACAAAATATACTTTTATAAGTAAATAAATTAATTTCAAATTATCCAATCAATTAAGCATTATTGAAATATTGTTTTTAGTATTAATGAATAAAATTGCAATTATAAAAGCACTGTTTTTCTATTGATTAAATGTAATCAATTTAATTTTTCTTAGATTTATTAAAGAATTTTAAATGAATTTTGTCCTCAAATATAATGAACAAACATTTAATAATTTTATACGTTTTTTCGTTAACATTTTAACTATATCACAAATATGCTTATTTTTACTATAAGACTTGAAGGTTAGATATACGTTGTTAATGCAACATTATAAATAAAATATGTATGATTACAGATACATATTAGTATTATCAAAACAGAGTATCAAAACAAACAAAATTTCGGTTTCCGAACAGAATTCGCATTTACTTTAATACATATTTTATGTAATTTTATTGTAGTTTGGGCGAAAAGACCTCGGTCGTTAGCCCTTTGGTCAGCCCTTTGGTTTATATCACATATATATTTTGTGTTAGAATGTACTTCGTGAATGGATTATCCATTTTATCAGACACATTATAAGTAAAATGGATTATGTTAAAAAAAACGGTTTTCAAACAGTCTTCACCAACAAATTATTTATGATAATTAACAATTTTTCTATTCACTTTTAACATATTTTAACTTTTATAATATATAATAACTTTTTTTAATAAATATAAGAACCAGACAAAAAAGCAAAAACTGCATTTGTACATTCTCTACAAACAAGTAAAATGGCAGAGAAACGAACAGTCAATTACACATTTTGACTGTCGCAAAATTTTGGTCAAGAAATTGAGAGGAGATTTTCGTCAACCACGAGATAGATCTTCAAGTTCGACGTCCAACTCAGAAAAAAATTCGTTTACACGAAAAGCTTCATGTTATTCTTACAGACACAAAGAAGGATTGCGAAATTTTCAACTAGAACAAACCAGGGGGATGACCTAATTTTGTGATACATGTCCAGATAAGCCAAGGATGTTTTATAACTTATCATACCAAGCGAAACTACAGATCTTAATTTTTCTAAAATTATATTATATATGTAAGATTTTTTTCAAAAATCGCCTCGTCCTGCTGATCCTACTGAAAAAGTTGTCGTCCACAAAGGGTTAATATATTAATATATACAAAAAATATTTTCTAATAATTATAATTATTATTGAAAAAATATATTTATATATAATATTGATAATCATGTTTTATTGTTTAAATTCTTTTGTAATAAAAATATACAAAACTGCTTTAAATTGTTAAAAATGTTAGAAAAGTTACTTATTTTTTTAAGTATCTTTTTTTGAAAAATAGTTTTAAAATTATCAGACAAAAAATATTAATATAAAAATGTTTGTTAATGAAGTATGAATTATCTTAAAGTAAGTTAAGCAGAGTAGAGTAAATGAAGCAATAAGAATTACGTTTACATAAAAAAATGTAATCATGCTGTCATTGTTTATGTAAACAATAGAAATTTGCCACAAGAAAAGGTGAGTAGCATTAAGAATCAAGAAACCAAACAGTGAATTAATTCTCTATTAGTTCTCAATCCATAAACTACGAGGAAAGAAACGACCAGTTTCCTTATTATCAGCCCACAGCAGCGGAAAGAATGATATTATGTAATGCAATGAGTATTAGAGTGAAAATGAGACAGATATAGATACAAACAAAAAGTAACGAAATTACAAAAGTTTACTCGGATCAATTTTTTCGCATTACGTAACTTTTTATTCGGTGAGAATTGAGTGCGGTCACCATTCAACTATTTACTTGCAATTATTCCGTTCCTCGATAATTATTGTATTGGGACGAGACGCATGAATGGATCGTATTTCTTCACGAAACGAAATCACTTTCTACCAACACGATGCTTCATAAGCTGACGACAGTTCAATGTCATTCGGTATGTAAATACGAGTGATGGAAAACCTCTTCTATAAGAGATGCAAACCGTTTCATTTCGTTAGCGTCGAAAGAAAGTTCTCCAAATGAAAATGAATTTTATAAATACTCGTTTTCTCACAATGTACTTGCAATTTGCTTATTTTTTTTTAACTTTTATTATTATTTCTCTTTAAAGTAGTTAAACACGAGAAAGCATCCACAATTTTCATTTTGTTGATGCCTTTATTTTTACTGCGTTCACCTCGAAACGATTTTGCTGGAAAAGTGTAGTTTTCTATAATTTATTGTATGCTTTGATACAGTTAATTGGTTATTATGTTTGACGAAAATGGAATTTGTTTGTTGAATGGATCAACAAAGCAGGTGTTGGAAATTGAAATTGTATTGGATTAGAAATGTGAAGTGAAGTCTTGATGAGAGGAGAGAACTATCAACGCAGATGGCTAATGCATTGGTTTTTTCCTCTTTAAACCCCGGACCCATTCAACCATTTATAATAACAGGTTTAATGGAAGATGAATGAAAGGAATCACACGGAATTCGTATACATAAATCATATTATCAATTAGTGAAAAGAAGGGTTTCATGGAAATTACAGGGTTACGTGTCGTGTGAAGCTTTACCTGAAATAAACAATAGGTGGCACACCCATTCTATAGAATTCCTTTACTTATTTATTTAAGTAGTAATTAGTCTATTTTCATGTAATATTTCAAATTTAAAACAAAAATGTTAATTATTGAAGGTTCTTCTAAATTTTATATAAATTCTTCTTGAAAGTAAATAAAACCAAAACAAAATATGCATATTTATCCAAATAGAAATTCGGTTCTCGAACAAAATTCAGTTTTTATACATTTACTGTATTTATTTTAAGTATTTCTTTGTTTATTTGAATACAATTTTATTGATAAGATTCTGTTCAAATGAACAATCTTTTTGGCTTAGAATTATTATGGGCAAAATTCGGTTTTCGAACAATTTTATATTGTGTTTACTCAGCAAAATTTTATGAATTAATATGTATTTATTTAAGAAGTAATTAAAGTAATTAAAGGTTTAAATATACAATCTTCTGGGATTTGTGAACGGATTATACATTTTGCATGAATTAGTTTTCAAACAATTCTGTTTTCGAACAATCGTAAGTTGCGTTTATTGCACTTGATTTTATAAAAATTGTTAAATAAGTAATAAAATAAATCTAAAACAAAACAAAAAACACATATACAATCAGCATTTCGGTTTTCGAATATTTGCTATGTTAATTTTATATAATTTTATGATATTTTGTATAATTTTATGTTTAAATTACGGTTAAAAAGTTTATATAAGCAGTTTTAAAGAATGGTAATGGGTAAAATTCGGTTTTCGAACAATTTTATGTTTATGATTTATTATGTATTTATTTAATAAGTAATAAAATTAATCCAAAATAATAAATATAAAGCAAACTAAATTTCATTTGCGGGCTTCGTGATTAGATCATTCATTAGTATTAATACAATTCAGTTTACAAGCAATTTTATGTTGCGTTTACTGTACTTAATTTTATGATTTATTATATATTTGTTTAATAAGTAAACTGTATTTGATCTCTAAATGAATTCCAAGTATAAAAAAGCATGCATAAGTAAGTATAGAGAGTACAAATGATACTTTCATATCATTATACCAATTAGACGTAGAGCGTTCAAATTAATAGCAACGATGCCCAGATGGTATTTGGTGCATGCGATTCTACTGAGTTGATTACCGAAAAAAAAATAGTATCTTAATTGCCGAAAAAGAAACGAATCAAAAGTTGTAAATTTACCAATTAATGAAATTAGCTTTAAACAAAAAATAACTTTATGGAGTTTTAATGATAATTCGCGTAATGATACATCTATTGGAATGAACTAGTTTCTTCATGGATTTGTTACACTTCGTCATTTTTTTCTCCTTCTTTGCAAAGACCAAACGGGAAAAGGCGGCAGTTTTATATAATGAGTCCCATTTCGATACGCATTTACGTATTTGTCTGTAACTACACTTTTTTGTTCCTTGTTCCGCATTAAAACGGTATTATTCAATCCCTTAACAAATCGGTTTCTTCCTCCTTCAATTACTAACTATTCATAATACTATAATACATATATACATAATATTATAAAATACATATACAAATTTCCAATATAATACAAAAACGTCAATTTCATTAAAAATGAATACACGCATAATTCATAAGATAACTTTATGAGATTTTAATTTCTTCATACATTTGTTGTTATTGTGTTTTTTTTTAGTTTTTTCAATCAATATTATAAGAATGTAAAATAAAATGTAAAAATAATCTAGAATGCGCATTAATTTTGATT